TGAATTTTAATCTCTCTAAAAATCTGAAAAAATTAGAAAGTTTACTTTTGGGGAAAGACTGATGAAATAATTTATAAACAATTAATTTTTCACTATAAAAATCATTTGGGAATCGTAGTAAATTTATTCACATTCAACATTTTATCAGAAAGTTTAAACAATTTCAATTATTTATTTATAAACAACGAATGCTTGAAAAATGGTAATTCTGTGCAAATTTAACTGAAAAAAATACTTGAATATCCCTAAGTGTTCAATTATCAATAAAGTTGAACAATTGTTTTCCCAACCGTTCATTCGCTCGTGAGATTTTTTTTTCAATAAAAACCTCTTCACTTGCTTAATTCTCGCCTTTTCCCTGAACTTTTGAATGAATTAATAATTTTTGTCTGAAACAATGTCACGCAAATGATTTCCCGTTGACTGAATATTCCAAAAATCAGTGGCTAAAAAAAATGGGGAAAAAATCTTGTGCAAGAGCTGCAGGAGCACTTGTAATAACGATACTTCCTAGTCGACCCTTAAAAATTCCCGGGGTCATGAAAAAATTTCAGATATCGGAAATCAGCTTTCCCTCGGGGCTCCGCCTACGCACAAGAGACTGTCTATGTAATTCTCTGTATCTATTCTGCATTAGACTCTCAATATTACTCTCCTGGTGGCATTTCATCGAATGTTCGTTTTTATCTCGCGATTTCATCAACACCCATCTGGGTAAAAATTATTGGTGAATGAAAAAAGGAATGTCAATGAGTTAAGGCAATTAGAAAATACCAGTTTCAGCGGAATAAACGGAAAAAAAGGATCAGATCATGTGGGAAAAATTTAATCGAGTCCAAGTTGAGTGAAAAACGGCGGGAGGACGAGTGATAATGACTGCTTTTCTCATGTAATAGAAAGTGATAAGATAATTCAATAAATTTGCTCTCAAATGGGGCCGAAAAATTTGATTGAGTGACTTATCTGTCTGGTGTGTCGGGAATTTCGATAAAAATGAAATAATTTTTTTTTAAGTCTCACAAATTCTTAAACAATTATTTTTTTTAAGTCTCACAAATTCTTTTCCCTGCAATTTATGGTACGGGATAGAGCGCTGCAAACGGTACCACAGGGTGAAGGCAAATGGGAGACTGAGCGTCTCGACCACGTTAGTTTATATATTCAAAACCGGTCAGGGCCGGGTGAAAAAGATTCGCACTAGTTACTCAAACAGCCGGGATATCGCGTTGAAGTAGCGCGATTGGATTGATTTTTTTTCCACCAACGAGATATCGAATAATGGCTTTCACTTTCTACATAATCGTTTTCAAAAAATTGGTATGAAAAATAGGTGATCAGGGAAAAATGACTGTTGGGGCTTGACAACTTTCACGAAAAGCTGAAAAATGGAAATTCGGAAATGAAGAAAATTAAGGTAATGATACATTGTTCGCGTCACGCTGCAGTTGCATGCTGGTCTGGTCTCATTACATCATTTATGGGTGAGAACAAGAGTTTGAGACATGCAAATTTTCGTTTTGCTCGTGGCACCGTGATTTATTTGAATGAAATCTTCGAAATAATGCGCCTGCAATTTTGTAATTTGGTTCTGTCCTCGGGGGATTTTTTGCGTCAGGACAGCAGCAAAAGCTTCTGTCCAGCTGTCAAACCTGGAAATAAAATTAAAGAATGCGATTTACCCGCGACTAGGTGAATAATGGCGATTGAGGTTTCATGTTTTTGGGAAGAGCTGAAGAATATCAACTTGAAAATTGAGAAAATTAATTTAATAATACATTGGTGGAGTCACGCTGCAGTTGCATGCTGGTCTAGTCTCGTTACATCATTTATGGGTGAGAACAAGAGTTTGAGACATGCAAATTTCCATTTTTCTCATGGCACATTAATTTATTTAAATGAAATCTTCGAAATAATGAAAGGAATAATATAATCTTTAAACTTTCAATTTCGCAATTTACTTGTGATCTGAGGGAATTTTTCAATAAAAAAATACTAAAAATGAAGAACAATTGTGAATTAAAAATTGAAAATTCACAATTTGCTGAGAAAATTAATGGAAATTGCAAATTTTAGTTCAATAATTCCCTAAAAATTGGTGAAAATCATTAAAAAATTGCCTTGAATTTCCCCTGAATTTCGAAACTAAATTTTTTTCCTCCAGTAATACCAAAAATTGCATCACCAAACCGGAAAATAAAAATAAAGCCGAGTAAAAATGAAAAAGAATGCGATTTACCCATGACTAGATTCAAATTGCCACCGTTGGTGTGGGAATCAGCCCCCTGGCTATCGGCTGCTGGTGAAATTAATAGGCTGAAGGATAATAGCTCCCTAGTTTCTGACAGCCGAGCAATCAACTCCTAAATTCCTCGAGAATTCATTTTACCAACGTTTCTGGAACATTGTCAAGTATTTGAAAAATGGTATGAGCTGTCTTGCTATCAAGCTCCAATGAAAAATCTGACATCTCGGCTCTGACGATCGGCGTGTCGCCGCGATGAAGGACGATGCACCCCCGGAGACAAAAGAACGAGAAAAAAAAATTAATGAAAAGATAATGGAAGCGGAGGAGGGAAAAAATCGATGAGAAGGCGATTGTTGCTGATTGTCGGTGGTATGAAACGATTACTCGGGGGGTTAATTGGGGTCAAAGCCTTCGTGCTCTAATGCCACGTCAATGAATTATGAGAAAATCCACGACTCGGCGTTTATAGCGTGAAACTATAATCAAGTGGTACTTTTTCATGGCACGATTATCGGGAGCATTTCAGCTACCATCGGGACTATTTCAGTCGAATCCAGAAGCCCTCTTTTCACGGAAATAGCTCTACGCTAACCCTCTTACACTGGCCCTAAACTTCCAGTCTCGAGAGCCAATAAATTCGAGCAACGATAACGCCGGATATCTCGATGACACTGAATGTCCATCCGCAGACCACGTTATCAACATTTCACCGAATTTTTTTCGCGATGAAATACGGGAGCACTGAGGTACTGAGGCACTGAGGTTTCTGTACGCCCGCGGTTTTTGGTGAATGGATTTTGGATGAAAGCTCGGGACGTCAAAGGGATTTTAAGAAAAATGTTTTGGTCCTTGAATGCGTGAGGAAATTGCATGGGTTTTTGAAATCCTGACGCAGGGGATTGAATGCTGGGGAAATGAAAGAGGTTGGGGAATGCGGAGAGTCTGGAGGGGTTAGGTTACAGTGGAGAAAATAGTATCTTAAATTAAGACGATTTTGTCCGGGGAGACATTGAGACACGTGTTCTGGACATTTTAGGGATTTCCAAGTAGTTTTTACAGTTTGGTACAAATTTGTCAATTTAATTGCGTGAAAAAAGATTTAGTTATTTTGAAAAATATTTGGTGTTTATAAATAAATAATTTAAATTGTTTAAACTTTTGGGAACTTTATTTTTTAGGCATTAAATTGATTTCTGGTGAAATTCTGAACGTGAAAGTTACATTTTGTACACAATTATTATGTTTTCTAATTATCATTATTACTAATGAATAATTGGATTGTTTTGCTTTTTGCAAACTTATTTTTTTAGGCATGAAATCGGTAAATTTATAGTAAAATTCTGAACATGAATAAATTTGTTATAGTTTTTACAGAAAACTTTTTAAAATTTTTGTAGACTTTTAAAATGTTTTCTAACGGTTAATTATCGAGATTCAAATTCAAACCTGCAAAGTTTGAATAATAAAATCATTGTAAAATATCCCGAAACTTAGGGACAAATGGGGCTTAAATGAAAGCGTCATTCAAGTTACATTTCGCAAACAATCATAATTTAAATTATTAATTATTGACATTTAATTATTATATTCATAACTAAATCATGGAAATTGTTTAAACTTTTGAAAACCTTATTTTCACCTCTGACGTTGACTTCAAATTCAAATTAATAATTCATTAATACATCATTCATTGAAAATAGCGGTTTTCAAGCAGAATTTTAAAGAAGTTAGAAAAATGAGGGTAAAAGAATTTTTGTGATAACAAATACTGATGACAATTATTTTTCCTAAGAATAATATTCAAGGCATTTCGCCCTTCTGGTCTTGCAATGACCCTATATTAAATTTCACTACACACCTCTCCCGCCCCTCACCCTTCCGACCGCTCAACGAATCAGAACTCCAATAAATTATAAAAAACTGTCCCCAAAAACGTCTTATGATTCCCGTCTCAAGGGGGTTAATGTCACGTCCGACCGCAGTCGTCATGAATGCCGTGACTGTCTCATTCAAAAATACCCCGAATTAAATCAGTAACGAAGCGGTAAACCGGGTTAAGTCGATTTTGACTATTGGCCAGTTTATGACGAATATCTGGGAATCTAAAAGAGATAGAAAAATTTTTGTCATTACCTTTTTTGTAGAGCCAACTGAGGGTTATAAAAAAGGTTACGAGCAAAATTTTGCTATCTCTCTTAGATTCCGAGATATTTGTCAAAAAATGCCCAAAAGTCAAAATCGACTTAACCCGGTTTACCGCTTCGCTACTGAAATCGAATCGCCATCGCCGAAATACCTAAAAAAACCTGAAAATTTTTTTGACGACAGTTTCACCCGGTGCCTGGTGCACTTGGTACGGGTGGGCTTCTGACTTTAGCATTGCTCTGTCCCTCTCATTCCTGGGATACGAGAAAAGGCAAAAGTCAACTGCTGGAGTTAAATTTTAAGCGGGGAAAAGAGAGGGAGAAAATATAACATTACCCGTCGTATTTGAGACGTTACACGGTTACTGTGTGATACCCAATGGCTTGCACTAACCCTCCGTCTGCCCCTTTGCCTCCCCACACCCCCCTCAGCTCACCAAAGTACATCAGGCTAACTGGAGGATTATAGTTTTTCCCAATGGGGGAGGAGGTGGGTTACGAGGGGGAGGCGGTTGGCTTTCGAAAGGATGGTGATTGTGGAGCGTGGCCAGAGTAGACTTAGGCGTATATAAGGACCGCGGACCCAGCCCAAGTCAGTCATTCACCGGACTACCAGCCCACCATACACACAACAAACATGAAGGCCTTTGTGAGTATTACGGGGTTGGTCATTTGGTATTGGGGGAGTTCATCTCAGTCCACCGGTTCACAACAATAACTTTATGATTTCAATTATTCTCTGAGAATATGCAATCATAAATAATAATTTTCCGTTCAATTCTCATTGTATTCGACTGCTCGATACGAATTATTTTCGTTTGATCGTGAAAAAAATATTCTCTATTTCTCACATTCGAATACAAAATTCCGTTGCAATCTCATTTATTTTCTCTCATTCATAAAACGTCATCTCATTAAACGTCATCTCACTTTCCGTTCAATTCTCATTGCATTTGGTTGCTCTATACGAATTATTTTCTTTTGATCGTAAAAAAATATTCTCAATTTCTCACATTCAAATGTAAAATTCCATTGCAATCTCATTTATTTTCTCTCATTCATAAAATCTTCTCATCTCACTCCACCGGTTCACAACAATAACTTTATGATTTCAGTTATTCTCTGAGAATATTCGATCATAAATGTTAACTTTCGAGCGCAAAATTCCGGTGCAATCTCATTTATTTTGTCTCATTCATAAAACCTTCTCATCTCATTCCACCGGTTCACAAAAATACTTTCAATTATTCTCTGAGAATATTCAATCATAAATAATAATTTTCATTGTATCCGCCTGGTCGATACAAAGTATTTTCTTTTAATCGTGAAATAATTATTCTCAATCTCTCACATTCGAATGCAAAATTCTCTCGCAGTCTCACTCGTCTTCTCTCATTCATAAAAGTCACGATTAACGCCCCACGCGAATAAATACTACGAGTCCCGTAAAACCGGTTGTCGATGTTAAATCCGTTAGTCATCAGGAGACAACCGGTTGTCCTCGGGATGCACAAGTCTTCTCACCAGCATTCAACTTGCCTATATCTGCCCCCAAAACTCACCCACCAGAAGCTCCACTTTCCACTGAATTTTTCAACCGACAAACGCGATCAGAAAAATCAGCACTAACCAATGAAAATCTCAAACCGCCCGATAAATCAACTCTTTTCACCTGATTAAAACGTGAAAGCTCCTTTTCCGAAAGCGCGTTAGCTTGATACACATAATTTATAGCCGAAACGGTCATTGGGCTCGGGTGTAACATGTCCAGTCAAGCGCGACGGTCTCCAGCACGCGATACCAATGAACGACGCTGAGCACTCGTGAATTACCTTTCCGGTTAATTCAGTCTACTCGAAACGATAAATCCTCGTCAGTCGAATCATTCCGCCAAATTTTTCCTCTCCCCCCGGGACACAGCTGCATATTCCCACAAAAACCCCTCCGACTGCAAGAAAATTTCACCGCAGAAACAAGAAAGTCACATTTTTCCGTAAACGAGCTAAACAAATTGAGGGAAAATCGATAAATTATCGGCTCTCGTGATTGCGTTATCGCACGTTGTTTCAGTGAAACGCATTGCAAGTGAGCCCCGCAAACCGGGGAAAAAATTGCATTCCTAATACGGTTACCCCGGTCAACGACGTAGTCCGAACTATTTTGCAGTAGAAAAAAAAACCGGGGAATTGGTCCGCACTATCACTCCAATTACGAAAGGTTACAGCATCGAATCTTGCCTTGGTGTTTTGTAAATTTTCACTTCTAGCACTATGTGAAACGCTCGTTACCCCCTTTTATGACATAACAACCTCACTCGGCAATTCCGCATGGCCAGTCGAAGCGAGAAATGTTGTCGGCTTTCCCGGCTGAGCATAACATTCCCCGCGTCAAAGACTTTTCCAAGCGGACATACACGCTAATTAAAAAATTTCCACTGTGCAATTTAAATGGCCAAACGTGATACTGTCACCGCCGCGAAATCATTGAAAATCGATCTCAAGTCCTTGTGGATTAGCCCACAAACCGGATGCGATTCCGGGGGGGGGGGCACTTATTCCCGTAGAATCACCGCTATACTTGAAAGTGAAAGGAACATGGTGGCATGCTTCCTGAGAGTGAGCGTTTCCACGAAGGCAAACCTGTAATCGAGTACCTCGGGCATAATAAAAGAGTTGCGTCTAGTCCTGCGGCTTCCTGCTGTAGATTTAATGCATTGCTGTCTCAAAGTGCCACCGTAATTAGACCATCAACGCGGAAATTGAAAGGATAAATCAACCATCCGAATGGGGAAAGACATTTCACCCAGGTGTTGAGACGATAGCAACGATGACTCACTGATTATTTCAGATTGTGTTCGCTTGCTTGGCTGTGGCGACGGCCCGCGCTGGACTCGCCCACGGAGGATACGGTGGCTACGGAGGTTACGGAGGTAACGGAGCTGCCCTCGGAGGACACGGTGGCGCTGGATTCAGCGGTGGTCTCGCTGCTGGTGCTGGCACTGCCAACTCCCTCCAGGGTGGTGCATCCAGCTTGGGATCAGGTGGTCTTGGGGCTAGTTACGCTGCTGGTGCTGCCGCTGCCGCTGGTGCCGCAGGAGTACAGCAGATCGTATCTGGTGGAGTTATCGGAGGAAGATCAGACATTGGACCAGCTGAGGGACCAAAGGCCAACGTTGGACCCCAGAGCGGACCATCTGACCTCGTAGGACCACAGGAGGGAGCCAAATCCGTTGGAGGACCACGTACCGGACCATCCAGCCTTGTTGGACCAGCTGCCGGACCATCCACCCTCGTCGGACCATCCCAGGGAACCGCCACCCTCGTAGGACCATCCCAGGCCACTGCTAACCTCGTCGGACCAAGCTACGGTGGTGTTGCTTTCTACGCCGGATCCGGTGGAATCAACGGTGACGACGGTAGCTCTGGCGTTGCTGCTGCTGCTGCTCCCGGAGGCGGTGCTGGAGGTCAGTATCACTTGTCATTTCATTTAATACCGTACAGACTGAGCACAGTTGACTGCACTCAGCACTATTGATTGTACCATTATCACCAAGCACATTGCACAATTGTTCCTCATAAGAAATGAATTCCTTCAACCAACAGGTTTCGGTGGTGCTGGTGCCATCGCTGTGATCGGTGGTGGTCCAGGAATTGCCGGTGGAATCGGTGGACACGATGCCGGTGTTGCTGTGATCAACGGACCATCTGGTGCCATCCACGCTGGACTCGGCTCCCACGGTGCCATCATCCCCGGCGGATACGGCAAACACTACTAAACAGTCTTCCCCACCCCAGCGATCTCGGTTCGGCGACGGCGGCGAAACTTACCACGACCTGCACTGGTCATATTAAACAGTATCCTCAAAGCGCGTACGTCTTCTTCCCAAAGCTTCAATACCAATCGAACGGAGCCAATGGTTATCAAGGAGTAGTCAAGTTGGACAGTCAAGTCATGTAGTGAGACAGTCAGCCCCAAAGGTTAATGCCGATCCACGTAGTTCATCGCGCAACATCAACAAATTTAGCCAAATAACATCAGTCATGGATGGGCAGAGAGAGAGGCACCAATGTGGATTAAGCTTTGACGCTTTAACGAATCGGGACCATTCTGGGATTGTGTTCTATTTTAACGAACATCCATCTGTTTGGCCACCAATTTAGCACCTCAACATCAATCATCAATGAATTTTTTTTTTAATTTTTATATTACCAACTTGTAACATCTTAAGGCCGACAATCTCACTCGCATATACTATCCCTTGATGGACAACTGGCGTTCATACAGAGCGATCAGTTATCCACCAGTTGTTATACTCACTGCCGCACCCAAGCATACATATTTTTTATTACATACTCGTCCATGTCTTCTTCTTTTTTATATATACTATACCTACTACTTCTTTATCTTCACATATATTATGCATTTACACACGAGCGCATAATCTCACATGCATTTCATGTGTATAATCGTGTATTGTGCACATATACAATGCTCAGTTGATGGAGATCGGTAGGTTGTGGTAGGTCAAGCCGTTACCCGTGAAGTTAATACAATGTACATAGATGGCGCGCCGCCGCCGGCAACTCGACCCCGCCCGCCCTCGTCATACCCTTTCTATGCGATCACGACTAGCACCCCACCACCACCATAGATAGATACCACGTATTTATAGCGTTTATACATTTATACAATACTTTATATAAAATAAAGCATCAGTATTTAAAACTCAATTACTTATCGACGCTCATTCTCCCTCTGAATCCTGAATTGGGAGTCGCTGTCAGGGGCGAGACATTGAATTCGATTCGAGGAATGCTGTGGGTTTGTGACTAATGAGCGATTATCATTAGGGTCATTGTTGACCGGAAAATAATGACGAGCGGGGAGGGTCTGATGCTGTTGATGAGGAACACCGAAATTCAGTGCTGGAAATGGATCCGATAGTCGATAATTAACGCTCCAAGTTAAAGCTACTTTGGATCATCTGTGGGATTAGTTTACCAAATTCATCCTCTAATGAATGAAATTTTGGGCGAGTTTCTATCGAGTATGAATTGAGCGTCAGACAACTAATGGGCGCTCGTAATTTCAGCCGTTCGCCGTCCAGGATGGAATCGACGACCTACTCGAGAATCCGCAGATAATTGCTAGTCGTCCTCCTACCAGGGTACACACACATGACTCCCGGTATTTATCGACATCGTAACCATCGAGCAAACCCCAAGGGCCGTGATGCAATCGGTACCGTAAATCGGGATTGAATGATTTTTGGTGGGGTTCGACGAAAATTTCGAGGTGCCGTCGGTGATCAGGTCATCAAAATTTTGGGGTGGAGGGTAGGGTCTTTGAGGGGTTTTCATTTGAGACATTAGAGGAGGAATAAGACGAGACATTTGATAGACAAGACATTAATCCCATTAAGACATTAAAGAAGGGAAGACATTAATTTATTGAGAGGATCGGAAGGGCGATGAGGCCAAGAGAAGCCAAATATAATTATTTTTCATCGTAAAAATCATTTTGCTTTAATTTTAACAATTGATGAAGTATTTGAGAAAATGAATGAAATATCATAAATTTGAAACAAAAATCCTCGAGTAAAATATTTAGAATTTCTCAAATGCACGTGTTAATGCCTTAACTTGAGCACTTGAGGATTTAATTCACTTGTGGAAAATTAAATTTAGGGCCTAAATGTCTTAAAACACACAATTGTCTTAATTTATTTTCATTTTCCCGGATGCGTTTAGATCCGACTGCATTTACTACAAATTTCTCAACAAAGTTTAGGCCATTATCACTTCTAAAATCTCCAGCCCCTGAATGTTTAACCGAACTCGTGGTGCCCAGAAGTTATCGACAATTCAATTTGAAGAATTACGAAATGCTGTTGCCCCTGCCCCCTCGGAAATGCGATTACAAATATTCTAATGTGTTTCAGGATCGTCAACGAATGTGTTAATTCTCGGGGGTTTCGAAATCCCGGCAAATCCACCTGTCTCGCCACACGAACACTCGGAAATTCACACATTTGGAGATGAATAGCAACAGTCGATAATTCTAGTCGCCACGATATCCTCCTGGAGCTGGAGAAGAATGGATTACGGATTAAATTCGGTTGAGAGAATCTTGATTGTGAGTGTGTTAATGGATGGGCGAGCACTAGAGTATTTTGGGGATGTTCTCTCTACTGCAGCAAACTTGCACTTATGGAAATCAAATTTTAATGAACGACGAACGAACGACACTTTATTTATGAAAATGTGCTTTGGGAATTTCGGAAGTTAGGAGTTGATGCTGATGTAAAGTTCTGAAAGGAGATGTCAATTATTATTTTAATCTCACAGGTCGAGTCCACAGACGTTTGAATTAATTAAAGTGTCAAATAATTTTGACCGAAAATGGAATCTCATTAAAATTGCTGGGAAGACTGAAATTTCATGGTTTTTTCTACTTAAATCCAATTCACCGTCACACCCCCCTGAGAATTACCCCTCAACTTCCCATAAAATTAATTTTTCCAAATGGTGCAGGCCATACCCAGATCCCCGATCGATAAACCCAGAATATGAATATTGAGTGGAGCCCCAAGAGCCGGCAATTGCGAAAAAATACAAGAAAATAGTTCAACAGACTCTCCATGCTCTCACTAAATTACGACAGTTGCAGACAACAACTGGAAATGTCAGTCTCCCAGTTCCCGCGAATCACGTTCGATAGGTCGAGCCCATTTCTCGCCTCTCGTTGCCCCGCGATGCCTGAGTAAATTACCCCATAAGAGGCCTCATCAATTAACACGATACGTCATCCCACCTGCCGCACACATCGCCGCGAATCCCGCCGAAACCGCGGGCTTCAATCCCCCCGAACTAGATCAGCCCGAGCTCCCTCAATCCCCGACATTCAGATATTTTCGCAACCCGACTGCTTAAAGGTCGAGTTCGAGAGTTCGCACCGAGTGTTACGACCTGGCAGGGCTAATTGCAGAGAAGAAAACAGCTGCACTGTGGTAAAAGCCCACGCTCACCTTCTTTCACAATTTTTCTGTTCCTTCCTTCGGAAAAAAAGAACCACCTCCACCGAGAGGGCCCCTGTCCACCTTGAGAAGCGTGTGAACCACGATGCACCATTACAATTTGCTACGGATTATTATTAGCCGCCTACTCCGAGCCTTCGATAAAATAATCCCGCCAAGTACAATAACTCGAAACGAGGAATGCTGAATGAGAATGAAAAAATGATAATCATTCGATTGAAGAAATTATCCTCCCTCGAAGGGGAATAAGCCCACAGTGACCCAGTTAGTGCTCATACCAGCGTGTTTGCACCGTGTTATTCGCCACACAGTCCCATAACAACTTAATGAGTAAATCAGTAGCACTTTGGTGTTTATCTAGGCTGTCCGCGACAAAATACCGAGGGCCGTAGGGATTGTGCGCCCGTCGAGGCGTGGCGTCAGTGACCTTCTTGCGAAATGGGTGAGTCTCCCATCAGCGGATGTGATTTGAAGGGATCAGGGGGCGCGGTCAACATCCTAGAGGTTCTTGCTATATAAGCCAAGACGGTGGCGTCTACCGCTACACTCTGTGACCGACTGTCGGCGAGATGAAGACCTTTGTAAGTACCGAGTGCAAGTGATGTGATCAGTAAGGCTGGGAGGCGATGCAAATCTGCCTGAGGGAGATGTTTTGTGCTGTGAGGCCGCGAGACATCACGAGACAACACTTTGGAGGGATTGTCCGGGTCTCAGTGAACACGGGAATTTTCGGCCCCGCCTCAGTCCTGAAATGGGCAGTATCGACTCTTGGGATGACTCGAGGCGATTTAACTCATCTCGGTCTCCGGTTTTTCGAGTTTTTTATGAGTGGAACAACGACACGAGACAAGCCGACATTTTGTATCAAAAAACACGAAAAACTTGGGACCGAGACGAGATGAATTGCCTCGGAGACATCACGAGAGGAGTCGGTCCTGCCGATTCCGACGCTGAGACGAGAGCGAAGATTCTCATGTTCATTGGGACCGAGATCGTGTCTCCAAGGTTTTGTCTCGTAAGGTGTCTCGCGGCATCACTAGTTTTGTGGTGTGTCCGTAGATCGTTGCTCTGGCTATCTTTGGTGTGGCTGCTGCTGGGCCGCGGGGTAAACGAGGAGTGGTGGATCATGGTTATGGGCACGGCGTGTCCTACGCGGGGGTTTATGCTGATCACGGTTACGCGGGTCACGGATATGCCGGTCACGGATACGGGGCGCACGGGGTAGCCCTTGCGGGGCCTGTTCTGGGCCCGGCTAGTGTTGCCGGACCACATGTTGGGGCTTCGTCTCTTGCCGGGCCTGCGATTGGGCCGTCGCACTTGGCCGGATCCGTCGCCGGACCTGTTCATGTCTCCGGAGCTGTCGCGGGCCCTGCCACGGTCACCGCGTCTGTCGCTGGTCCCGCACATGTCGAGCACTTCGGGGGGCCTCTTGATGGGTCTTACGACGGCGGCTACGGGGGCTACGGGGGCTACGGACATGGCGGCTATGCCCACGGCGGCTACGGAGGGTATGCGAAGGGACTCGGAGGTGAGAGACATGAGAAAGAAACGGAAGAATTATGTTTACTTCGTGACGCCACGAGACAATTTACGAGACAACACTTTGGAGACATGGTCTCGTTCTCAATGAACGCGGGAATCATTGCTCGAGATGAAATAAATTGACGCGGAGTCATCACGAGAGGCGTCGATACTGCGGATTTTGAGACTGATACGAGAGCAGAGATTTTCATGTTCATTGAGACCGCACGGCAAAAACAAATGTTTGAAAATGTCTGAATAAAATGACAATTTTTCTGAATTTCAAACAGGAATTGAGATGTTTGTCAGACAAATGTCTACAAAACGCGTGAAATTCAGACATTCGTTCTTGCTGTGCGAGATTATCTCTCCAAAGTCTTGTCTCGTGATGTCTCGTGACGTGTCTCGCAGCATCACTACACTTACTGCTTTTTGTCTTCCTTCAGGTTACGGATATGGCGGTCATGGGGCCCATGGGGCTGTGATCGTCGGTCCTGCGGCTCACGGAGCTGTCTACGCAGGCCACGGGGCCCACGGAGCCGTTCTCGCTGGGCCCCATGCTCATGGCGCTGTTCTCGCAGGTCCGCACACTCACGGAGCCGTCCTGTCGGGGCCTCATGCAGGCGCCGCTGCCGTCTCCGGACCGCAGGCTGGCGATGTCGTCATCGCTGGGCCCTCCGGCAAAATCACTGCGCACGGCACCGGTCACGGCGCTGGAATCCACACAGGATACGGTCATCATTGGTAACGACTCGACGTTGATAAAGATAATTCTTCAGAAGCCAATCAGCATTGACTTGGGAACAGGTGGACGTGCCGAGGCGCTTTCAAACTCCTGCGGCCAAAAATATTCGAGGGAATTGTCAATTTACTGAGGTGTCTGTGGAATTATCGACTTGATGAGCTTCTTGTCGGTTTTATGTACATAACAAGTCGAGTCTGTATGCGCGAAATAAACTCATTCTTTTGTCTACTGAAAGTACAACAATGACTGGTATTTATTTTACAATATCCTTGTGTTTAATGAGCCAGCGGAAATTTGTGGCGCGATCGGGACATCGCCATTGTCTAGCATAATTATAGAAGTTGTGAGTCATCGGGCGGTTAATCACTGCCTCGATGTCCCAGAAATTATCGAGGTTGGAGGTACACTCGGGGGTGTAGGTGCTCTTCACTGACGCTTATTAAATACTTGCTGTACAAACCATCCAGTGATGGGTCGGGGTGTGAAAAGAGGTTTAGAGAGTTCATCAATCCTCATAGAGGGAGTTGAATGTCCAATATCACGGGATTAATTTCTTTTGAGAATCAATACCTTGGGACGAGAAGAGCTTTGCGAAAGAAAATCTTCAAATATTCCTGAAATATCAGTGACGAAGAGTTTTCGAAAATATAATTATTATATCAGTAGTGAAGCGGTAAACCGAGTTAAGTCGATTTTGACTATTAGCCAGTTTTTGCTGAATATCTCGGAATCTAAGAGAGATAGCAAAATTTTTCTCATGACTTTTTTTATAACGCTCTATTGGCTCTACAAAAAAGGTCATGACAAAAATCTTTCTATCTCTTTTAGATTCCGAGATATTCGTCAAAAACTAGCCAATAGTAAAAATCGACTTAACCCGGTTTACCGCTTCGCTACTGATATATTACATTATAATTATTATTATAACGAATATTTTACAAAAACTCAAAAATTACTTATTTAAAATAATAATAATTCTTTTCAGTACAATATAATAATGATTTTTTTTGCTCTCAATCGCAACTAGAAAAAAAAACAATAATAAAATCAATAATAATAATGATTATTTTCTGTCGTAATAATTTTCCTGCTATTGTCTAAACTCAAGAAATTATTTCTGCCATTATTTTTCATTTTTCCTCTCAATGCCTAAAAAAATCGTCACGTTTCACTCCTTCGATACTACATTTCGTCCTAAAAATACTAGTATCAGACTAACACCCGCACCCTCTCCAAAAACAAAGATTTTCAAGTGCTGCAGACGTGCCGATCTGAGAATACCCGGTATCACACTAGCGTCACTGCAGATTGTAAGACCTCGATAAACACCATGAGGTGATAACGTATCATCCCTGTTTGAATATTTGCGTATCCTGGGTGCACCCTCTCCCCCCGGTCCGCCCCACCATTCAATCAATAACCACGTGCAACAACAGCCCCCCCCCCTCCCAATACGCAATATTCCGAATGACACCCGTTCGATTTCCGTTTCACTCTCACCGATTTCTGTGTGCCAATGGGCGGTTTGAATCACAAAGGCAGAGATGACCTTTCCGCGGTGGAATTGGTGAGGTATTTCAATTTTGTGTGCATAAACTCTCACAATACTCCCAGCATAAACTGAGTAGCGTATGTTGCACGGTGGATATGGTGATGAAACAAGGGAGATTACGTAGCCAGTTGTTTGTGTTACGTGTGTGTTTGTGGTAATGTAACTTCGGGGGCCTCTAGACACTTGGATGTGCACCAGTGGGACTCCGGGTGATGAGGAATTTTTCCGTAAGAGATTTTTTTCAATAAAATATAATAATAGTTTTTAATATTATTTGCCGTTAGAAGAACGGTGGCGATATACAGGAATATACAGATATACCAATAATAATAATAATAACAATAATAATAATAATAATAATAATAATAATAATAATAATAATAATAATAATAATAATAATAATAATAATAATAATAATAATAATAATAATAATAATAATAATAATAATAATAATAATAATAATAATAATAATAATAATAATAATAATAATAATAATAATAATAATAATAATAATAATAATAATAATAATAATAATAATAATAATAATAATAATAATAATAATAATAATAATAATAATAATAATAATAATAATAATAATAATAATAATAATAATAATAATAATAATAATAATAATAATAATAATAATAATAATAATAATAATAATAATAATAATAATAATAATAATAATAATAATAATAATAATAATAATAATAATAATAATAATAATAATAATAATAATAATAATAATAATAATAATAATAATAATAATAATAATAATAATAATAATAATAATAATAATAATAATAATAATAATAATAATAATAATAATAATAATAATAATAATAATAATAATAATAATAATAATAATAATAATAAAAGAATAAGAATAATAAAAATAGTAATAATAATGAAATGTAATAATTATAAAACTGAAAAATCAATTATTTGAAATAATAATAATTCTTTTCAGTAAAATATTTTTTTTTTTTTTTTATCCCAGAGAATAGACTCTGGGAAAATGATGCTGGGGGCATTTTCATGGGTGAACATCACTCGCGATCGCGATCGCACTCTCGTGGCAAACGATACGCCAATGTCTGTCGAACGGGTGACTTATGGCTGTGGGTGAGCCACATTAGAGTTTATTTGCACACGGCTGTAACTCGATGACCTTACCCTTTAACCGTGAGTAATACGATAGGCTTATGCAGGAGAAAGCCACCATCTTCATTCACACGATTGGAAACTTGCGCGAAAATTGTAAGTTGAGAGGCTTCGAATTAAAATTGGCGTAATAAATTTCTGGAATTTCAGGGGGCAAAGGGGAACGTTCGCGATTTTAAGGTGAAAAGGTGGAGAGTAATTTTTCCACTTTTTTAGCGATTTTTTTGCTGATGCTTCCGGGTAATTTTTTCGTGGTAAAATCTGTTTGAGTTGAAAGTGTATGGCAGAGAATAATCTCGGAGTGTTAGACGTTTTTTCCGCGTGAGGAAAGAATTAATCTGACATTTAGAGTTGAAAAATGCGATGGCAAATTCCAGATTTCCCGGGACGTTTAGAACTCCATAATTATTTTTATCGGTCTAAGCGATTTAATTATATGGTTGTGGTAGTTTAAAATTCCTGGAAAATCTCGGGAGTTTTATAATTTATGAGTCGTCGAAAAATTGGAGATCTGAGTCGACTGTCGGTATTCAGAATTTTAAAAAAACATGGAAAGTTTAAATTTAAGTTCAAGTGTGGAAATTAATAAAAATCAAGAAAATTTAGATGAATATATTCTTTAATTTCCAATTTAGTTTTTTATTGACAATTCTAGTAATTTTCAGTGAAATTGGAAATGTCATAATTTTATCTTAATCAACTGTCCACGAAATTTCATTTAAAAAAAATTAATATCCCGGAATTATATGAACACGTGGAAAAAATTCCAAATGCAGATTTCACTGAAAATTCAATGAAATTTCAATCCAAACATTCCCAAATGAGGCGGAACTTTCAATTAATCACAAATTCCAAGTTTCCAGTTTCCATTGATTGTTCCCCAAGATTTTGGCATTTCAATACCAAAATTCTTTGAAATCTTAATTAAACAGTGCCATAAAAATTTCCAAGCCCCGAAATTTCAGGCGAAAATTTTCGCCATCAAATTCATCAGATCCCGCCTCCCTGTTGTGACTGCCCCATGCCCATAAATCCCATTGCAAACATTCTCCTGTCTCCTTACCGATCACCGACTGTTGCTACCGGATTGCCGGTGATCCCTGAGGTCGAGGTACCACGTTGCATTGTCCGCGGCGATAACCCTGGAATACCGCGCTGAAACTTCATATTCCCGGGGCTGCACATGCCACATTATACCCGATAACATCTGATTACCAAGATCAGTACGAATGGGCGATGAAAGGTGCGGTCACTCGATGAGGTGGACACGGGTGGGTGGTCATTATCCTACGGTTTGCCGCTGCCACCACCTCGCTCACAGTGATCGAGCGAGACTGATTGAATTATCGATCACTCAAATGGTTCCATCGGGCGTACGGCGAATCGCCTGAATGGAAACCGGAAAAAGATCCGCCGGTGGCTCGTCCCCCCGGCACGCAGGAACGAGATTCCCCGCGTATCAGAATGGCTCGGCCCACAATGCCTATGCACAGGACCCATAACTGTCGATAATTGATGGGACCCTCTCCCTCCGGCGGTATCGAAAAATCGAGGCGAATGAAAAAGGAAGAAAATCCGGAGCTGAACGAAAATTACAGTGCAACGAGGTAAATTACCGGGGCACAATCAGACTGGTCTGCATGGCTATCGGGTACTGCATCGGTTATTTGATATTTCGCGTCATTGCATTTGCCATTTTAGGACGGAATGACGTGGGTTTTAGAAAATATTGCAGATTAAATTATTTTTGTTTTTGAGAAAACGAAGAGATGAAAGAATAATGTCTTAAAGACGTCTTAATTTGAGACGTGACGGTTATTTTTAATGTGAAGTGGTTGAAAAAATGAATGGAGAAATCTAAATGTCTAGAATGCAGGCATTAATGTCTCAATTTAAGAATGTCCAAGTGCTTCGGCAATTTTTTCTCCAAGTAAATGTTTTTCTACTTTTGCAGTCGAAAATTAGAGCTTTCATTTGAAAGAAATTTCATAATGAATTTATTATTTAAACTTTGAAAAACCTGATTTTACAAATCTAAAAAAGAATGTACTTTTTTCTTTTGGAGAAAGATTGAGGGAATAATTGAAAAATTTCATTTTTATGAATAAGTTATAAACAATTAATTTGTTAGCATGAACATAATTTCTTCTAAATGGTAATAATTTTATTCATATTTATAATTTTCCCAGGAATCGAGTTCAATTATTTATTTATAAACAACGAGTATTTTAAGAAATATTAAATCTGTAAAAATCTTCTTCACGCAATTAATTGACAAATTTCATGATTGAAAGTGGTTGAGTCTATAAAATACACTTGGATATCCTTAAAACACTTAAAATGACTTAAATGTCGGCAAAAGTGTCTCAATTTCAAACGGAGAGAAAAATCAGAGAAAAATTACCGAACATGTCAAGTAATCGTGGAGCGAGCTCCATTTTCAGTATTTTTTCACCCTGTCAGGGAAAAAATGCGAGAGGAATAGTGAATTGTTCTCCGTTGGCCCGGAAAAATTTACTGAATAATCCCAGTGAACGTGAATGATTGCTCAATATTCCGAATAATTTTTCTGCAGCGAAGAATGAATTTTTACCGAACGCGTTCGGTACGAATTTTTTCATTTCTCATTGAATTACATTTTGCCTCACGATTACCTGTCGTACAGCAAAAAATTGCCGCGATTTTCCAGGTAATTTTTATCCAACTTCTCTCCAACGTCCACAATGCTCCCCAAAAACAATTGCTTCCAGTGCTTCTGATTTTTACGGTTACCTCGACTCGTTGTTCACTTCTCTTCAATTCTCCGACGAGAGAGAAAATTAATTCTCCACCCCCTCGGGAAGATCGTGGCGTTTGTTTGGAAGTCGCTGGTACGAGAGAGGAAAATCTCCGCGAGGAGAAAAATTTCTATTTTTCTTATTGTCCTCCACGTTCGGATGTCGCGGCACCCCGATGGGATCCGGGTATAAGATTGTCATCCGAGTCGATTCGGAAAAAGCTTTTATACATTGAAAACCACGTGGGTCGGTGAACTTCAGCGGAAAAGCGGTGGGAGGTGAACAATGCCGTTGGCACAAAAAATGAGACGGATAAAATGAGAATAAAGGGTGAAAAAACATTGAGCGAGATTAAAATATAAGAGACAGGAGAAATGTCGATCGGGTGACCCCACTGTTGCGCAATTCTATCGTGAATGTGAGTAGGTGACAACTGTGGCTATAGATGTCAGGTATTTTGATCGATCGGTATTGAGATAACAGGGAATACTTCACGTATTCAGAATTATTTAACTATTATTTCAACAATTCGAAAAATTAATTTTTTTCCTGAATAAGACGCTTTTTTTAAATGTGAAGAGCATTTTCTCATCTCCTAACGCGAATAAAATAATTTCTCGAAGCCAAAAAACTCTCATGTCTTCGTGAAATAATTCATATTTAGTTTATCAATACTTCACGATTTTTTTCTTAATAAACACTGTTAAAAAAAAATTACATTTTCAAGAGAAAAAAGTTATAAAATTCAATGAAACCATGAATATTAATTAAATAAATAGCACTGAATTAATTAATCAAACTGAAATTGACAGTTCTCCCTCATTTCCCCGCGAAATTCGTAATTTTCAACTTTCAAAATTCCTTGACATTTTAATGTGCCTAAGCTGCACTAAAAATTTCCCCCATCAGCCTCCCAACTTACCCCCCAAACATTCTCGAGACCCAGTCCCCCAGCTCCCCCGAGGATCCTCTTTTAATGGCCCTATCCCCCTTTAATCGAGTGCGCGTAACGCGATAATCTGCCAATTAAGCGCCAGTGTTAAATATCATTTGCCAGCGAGTACTCGTCGTGCGCCACCAGCATTACATTACGGTCTCCATGTGCAATCCAGGTGGGATCGATCTCTCACGTTAAAATATAGCTCCAAAAATTTTCCCGAGCAACCCCCCAATGCACCCCGGGGGAATTGATAGTTCGAAATATAAATTCCCAGCGATAATAATTCCCCCGAAAAATGATGTCGTTGATGCTCTGACGAATGGCCGATTTTATCTCCACAAAATGAAGAAATGAAAGAATACATCGTTGCATGAGGCCGATAAAACGCTGTTTTTCCCCCGGAATTGTCGTGTTAACGCACACAACTTCGGTAATTCCACTTCACAACGCAGTTTATACGTTTTAATGGAATGTTAAAATCACCCCAGAGGCGCATTAAACCTCCGTGAATGCAGTGCCAACGATCATTGGACCAATACGATAGCATTCATCCCCTGCTGCGCCCTCAAAACTGTTCTCACGTGTATATCTGTCTCTAATTACCGGCACTCCCCCTGCCAAAGAGATCCCAGTTAATTCAGCTTTGCGCCTAATGCCTGATTACCGGTTTATAATCTATCAATTTGTTTTCATGAATAATTTAGTCAATTACAATGCTCATTGAATTTTTCACCGTCAACTCCCAGAGCCATTAATTACCGATTGCAAATGAATTTCAGTTATTCTGATGGAACCGATCGTAACTGTTCTCCGGGATTTTTTTTTCTCGCACTGATGGATTTAATGATAACTGTCGCTGTCACGTAGTGATCCGTAACGATCCCACTGCCCTCCTGTGGTAGTCACGGTGGAATACAATGGGCTGCGCTCTCAATCTTGTCGCAGACGTGGGCAAGGCTGCGACAATGCAAAATTACCTGATCTAAGCGGATGCACAACGCCTTTGAGTGAATTGTAAATAAGAGTGCGATATGCCCACGCACTTTCACAGGCTCCCTGCCTTCCCCCGGGGGTTATTTATGTCGTTTATGTGGGGAAGAAGGTCGCGGGATTATTTGAAGATTTATGGACTTTTCAGGGGAGCAGGAAAATCGTCGGAACACTGGTGAACATTTTTGCGGGCAATTTCCGGGACTGTTGGGAATTTTTTTCATATTGTAGTTCCACTGTAATTCTGAGGAATTTCGTCATTGAAAAATCAAAATTTCATTGAAAAATCCTGGAAACTGCAGACTTTAAGTCAATTATTCCTTGAAAATTAATAGAAATAAAAAAAACAAATAATAATTAAAAAAAGAGGAATTCAGTACTGACTCTCCATGCATTGTTATAAATCAAATAAAAATCTTCATTCCAACTAGAGTTACTTCTTATTTTCAAAGAATCACACGTTCACATATTTCGCTAACGAAATTATAAATTCTGTTTCAACAACATAAATAAATATCTACCAATAGTGAAAAAAATGTATTTGTTACTATTAAAATAAACCCATTCATTTGATTCGAATAACCAATTCGTCGCTGGGAGTGTCACTAAAATTCGTAATTCTCTTGAATATTCACCCAACTCATTCATCATAATCTCCGAAATTCCGAAGGCCCTCCCGCTAAAAGCCCGCACCGCAGTGCCCCTTAACCACGGACTACACCGAAATGACAGACCACAAGCGGATGCTGTCCACCACTTATCGCCTACTCAACCAATCAGAAGTATCAGCTGCGGTTCGTCACAGGATTCCAATAAAAATGACCAGCCTGACCTCCCCGCTATGTTGTACACATCAGACAGGGCGGATACTCGTGCCATTGTGACGTTTATAGGCGTTAACATTTTACGAACATTGCTAACGCAATACCGAGGAATGAATGTCGCTGATAAGCACCCCACGAGCGTTAGGAGAGAGTTAGAGCCATGCCCCACCTTAGATTGGGGGGTAGAAGCAGGGATAACTGCTTGCCAGTACAATAGGGTTTTGTATAAAAGCTGGCGGAACGCTCGGCTCAAACATCATCGTGGCCCCTCAACTAGCCGTGACAAGTCGTTGATTGCTTCGGTCAAAGAAAATTTTGTAACAATGTTCAGGCAAATTGCTATTGTTCTCGTGAGTGTGGCTGTGGCTACTGCCGCGCCTTCCGGTCTCTGGGGAGGAGTGGCACTCGGTGGGCCCGTTTTGGGGCCATCTGGCATCGCCGGCCCTGTCATTGGCCCGCACGCCCTCTCCGGACCCGCCGCTGGGCCCGCCAGAATCTCCGGCGCTGTCGATGGCGGCGCTGTTGTCACCGGATCCGTTGCCGGACCTTCCGTTGTCTCCGGAAGCGTCGTGGGGGGCACTGCTATCTCTGAACCCTCGCTGGGATGGGCTGGACTCGGCGCTGGATGGGGTATGCAAGAAATCCACGAGTTGATGGTTTAAGTCAATTAGTCTCCTGTTCAGTTTTCCAGAAATATTTTCTAATTTAAGGGAGATGGCGATATTTTCATAATAAGCTTTTTTGTAGAGCGAATTGAGCGCTACAAAAAAGGTCATGAGAAAAATTTTGCCATCGCCCTTAGATTTCGAGATATTCACTGAAAACTGAGCGATAGCCAAAATCGACTTGAAAAATTTGACCGCTTCGGTACTGAATGGGTTTCTTTCATTGTTTGTTTTTTGGTTGTCCCGCAGCTGGACATGGCGTCGCCCTTGCCGGACCCTACGCTGGTCCCGCCGCCATTTCTGGGCCTGCCGCCCTCCCTGCTGTCGTCCGCGGACCCGCCGGAAGCATCGTCGCCGGCGGCCCAGCCTGGGGAGGACACTGGTAGGGCTCTCACCTGAAGCTTCACCCGGAGATACCCGACTGACCATTTTCAATCTTCGAATTCAGCTATGATTACGTGTCATGATCTCTCTTCCTTCTTTTACCGCTATAGTACCTCTTGACACTTTCAATTTTTCGAATTGATTTTGTGTATATATTAACGAATATTTCGTGCATGTATGGATACTATTGGTAGAAATAAAAATTGCATTTTGAGTTGGAAATTGCTCGTGGTTTTGTGATGAATGAAACCCCCGGAGGCGCGACAAATGTCGAAATGAAAACATTTTTTTCAGCCGGAGCCAAAGTGCCATATTCAGGCTTTTTTCGGGGGAAAAGTCGACTTTCGCCAAAATCGAATTTTTCCGCCGAGTGAAAGTCGATTCTGTATTTTCTGGCCCGCCTAATGCCGCTGAGACCCTCACTTGCCCCAGAAATGCAGAAATAAAAAATTTTTTTTTTCACCTGAGGCCAAAAGTGTCATATCTTGGACTTTTTGAGGGGAAAAGTCGACTTTCGCCAAAATCGAATTTTTTCGCCGAGTGAAGGTCGATTCTGTATTTTCTGGCCCGTCTAATGCCACTGCGCCCCTCACTTGCCCCAGAAATGCAGAAATAAAAAATTTTTTTTTTTCACCCGGAGCCAAAGTGCCATATTTAGGCTTTTCTCGGGGGGAAAGTCGACTTTCGCCAAAATCGAATTTTTCCACCAAGTGAAAGTCGATTCTGTATTTTCTGGCGCGCCTAATGCCGCTGAAACCCTCACTTGCCCCAGAAATGCATAAATAAAAATTTTTTTTTTTCACCAGAGGCCAAAAGTGTCTTATCTTGGACTTTTTGAGGGAAAAAGTCGACTTTCGCCAAAATCGAATTTTTCCGCCGAGTGAAAGTCGATTCTGTATTTTCTAAGGGTTCTGATGCCAATGAAACCCCCAGAGGCGCGACAAATATCGAAATAAAAAATTTTCATTTTCACTTGTAGCAAGGGTCAGATTTTTTAACAATTTCATTTTGTATTTATACAACGCATGTAAGCGGCTCGACGGACGAGGGAGGCTACAATAGATTCCGCAACCTTCTCCCCTTGTCAGGTAAAACCTTCAATGGTTTCAAAGGCTTCCCAAGACCTATCCAGTTCTCAACGGAAAGACCTAAGTAGAACTTGTCAGGTCCAATTATTCGACTCGGATAACATCACGGAATTTTTCCCGAGTGTAATCGCTGAGCGAACTGTGAGTTCCGCAATTTTTACTGAACATTTCTCACCGTGTTCATAACTCTCCGGTACGGAAACACAATTGATAAAATATTTACTCATCAACACGGGGTGAGTGAATCCTCAGGAGCGCAGCTCAACTCAAAGCTACGAATCTAATTGAATTAAACAAAATCCTTTGAATGTTTTTTCTCCTCCTAATTTCCTCGCTGCGCTGGCGCAAGGGGCAGAGGCTCGAGGGAAGTAAATCGCCCGGAGCGTTCGCTCGCACGGAAAAAAATTGAAAGACAATATCTAAACACCTGTATTTTTGTCTCCCCAATCGTCTCCTCTGTTTTCATTTGCAGCAAAGTCCTTGAGTCGTAAACGCATACTGTTATCGTGAAAACAGTCCAACGAATTTGTCGCCCTCTTCTCCCATGTCGCAAATTACACGAACCACGAGTGCAGCGATTCGATTCAACGATGCGTACGACACTAAATGACGCTAGACCTCATATTGGTGTTTTGCGCTGAAGGCAGGGAGTTACTGGCACGTAAATGCCCCCACCCAACTATTCGAATTTAATTCAATGTTCTCTCACGTACATTTCACACGTCTGTAACCGTGCATTGTTATGGCGAGAGAGAGTGGTATTATATCTACGAATATTTAGGATGTGGGCATTGTTCGGGACTTTGTCACCATTCATTCCATTTAACCGTGGAGGTTTCATTAACTAATAGCGGGGCTATTCCAATGCATTAGAGTGATACTGCTGGAGTTGATTGTAAACGTAGACACATTTTACGATTTGTATTGGACGGTGTCGGAATACAATTGGTGGAGGGGTGGAAAAATCTGATAAATTGAGGGATACGCGGGGAGAGAACAGACTGAAATTCTTTTTCTACATCAATTGGATTTGGATTGAATTGGCTTTTTTATTGGCTTTTGAATGATTTTATTGAAAAATTCCGCACCTCTGAATTTTTTTCTTCAGCAGAAATGGTCTACAGAAAAAATCATAGAACCGATTTTTGGGGAGAATTTATTCCATTGACATATTTTCTGTTGACGTTCTTCGGCATTCAATTTTTGCTATTGAATTTTTCATTTTTTTTTCTTTTTTTTTGCCCGATTTTATTGAAAAATTTCGCACCTCATCAATATTCTTCGATTTTTCTAGACAATTTGTTCTATTGAGATATTTTTTACTGAAATTCGTCGCCTCAAATTTCTTTGTTCAATTTTTTTCAATCAAGAGTGAAAAAAAGTGCAACAATTCATGAAGAATTTCGAGAGTTTTTCTATGAAATTTCTTCCTGCATGCATTCATGTCAATTTAATAAGTGATTCAGAATGAGTGAATAGAGGAATAAATTCTTTCATGCCATTAATTTATTTCTCACAAATTCAATTAACTAAAAACATTACAAACTCAGCACTATTATACAAATATTTTAAATTATCCGGATCAAGCTTGTCTTATCGATTAATCTTACCATTTTCGTCCCTCACAATTTGCAACCCCTGCGCCCCCCCAACGCCCAACCGAAATTGCATTGCCAACGCATTCATTAAATCGACTTTTCCACACTGAAAACACAAGAGCTGACACTGGTCAGAGGAATTCCATTATAATTTTAATTAAAACCAAATGCAAAAGCGGGGAGAATTGCATCAAACTGGAGAAGAAAATGATTTCCAAACCGGTATGACTCCCGGAACAGTAGCCACACCCGGTGGCGACATTAGCCGTGACTTTTATTCAGGGTTGAAGAACAGATCCTTTCATCACGATTGTTTGAGTATATAAGATCGCAGGATGACAGGGTTGAGCATCAGTCAGCATCGAGCAGCAATCAGTAGTTCAACTGCAGAGACCACTTGAAGTCGCCATGAAGTTCTTGGTAGGAAAAAAAATTCTTAAAAAAACCTCAACCGACGACTGAATTTTCCCGGAAGCGAACCATCTGCACCTGTGAATTATTCTCTGCTTCAGGTTATCGTCCTCGCCATCTGGGTAGCCGCCGCCTCCGCCGCTCCAGAGAGGGAGCGTCGTTCCCTACTGGGAGTGCCTGGAGCAGTAGTTCTGGGAGGGCTTTCGCCTCTAGGTCTGGGACACGCAGGGCTTTTGGGACTCGGCGCTCCTGGAGTGTCTGTCCTTGGACCTGCAGCGGGATCAGTTGCCGTCGTTGGACCCGTGGGACCTTCCGCTGCTGTTGTCGGACCTGTCGGCCCTTCCGCTGAGGTTGTTGGACCTGTCGGACCTTCTGCCGCTGTTGTTGGACCAGCTGCAGGTAGATTACTGAAGCTTTCGAGAGATGAATGAACGCAGTGTGAAGACTGGTGTCTAGGATCAGGTCTAGAATGTCGAGAACGCGTGTCGTAAGGGTAGAATAAGGGTTACGAGGGTCAAATCAGGGGTATTTTTTAACAGCGTTTCTCGATTCTAGGGGCAACTGTCATCGCTGGACCCGCTGGAGCCATTCAAACTGGACACCCCGGTCTCATCCTCCCCGGCCTCATCCACGGTTAAATCTCAATCATCAACTCATGGCTCTCATCTACAGCTCCATCATTCGGACCATGAGAAATGTCGCAATTACACTCGGGCGGGCGATTGATATCCGAGCGGATATTACACCGACTGCCTCGAGTCTGTGGACACACTGCCTGGCAAATACCCTAGAAATCATGAAACTTATCGCGGATATTTAAGTATCACCTCAGTTACCTCCCTCGTTTGCTAAGTTACAATCGCTCTCGGAAGTGTTTCCATGTATTTGAACGATCGATCACCATTCCCCGTCGAATGGACTGTTCTCCATCGGCGGATAAGTTCTGTAATCTACCTCAAACTTTCTCATTCTCTCGGAATTTTTTCCGTTTTTATTCCCAGTTCTTTCAACATAATTGCAAATGAACTCGGAAAAGTTTCACTCCTTCTTCGGGGTCATAATGTAATGCACTTTTTTTGCTTTTTGGGAATTCACGGCGATGGGTATCGACGAGGGTGGAAAAGTTCTCGAGAGTTTCATTGGCTCATGTAACAGTTTATGAGGTGAAATAAAGGAGTATCAGTGTACACTTTTACAATAAGTCTGGTTTTTTTTGTCATGAGTTCCTAGACATTTTTTATTTCAGAGGCTTCAGATAAATTTGCACGCATTCGGTTCGCGAATGCGTGAATTCAGTAAATAATATCATTAAATTATATTCTTAATGCATGTAATCACAACAATTTGCAGAAACCCCTGGAATTCGCTAGAAAATTCTATTGAATTTTCTATTATCGACGCATTTTTTTTTAAAAGAAAATGTTCAATAGAAAATATTTTCCGGAAAAAATCAATAGAATTGGATTTTTCTAGATAACTTATTGCATTGAGATATTTTCTGTAGAAATTCTTCGGTTGAAATTTTTCCAATTTTTTAATTCAATTTTTCTTCTCTTTTCATTTAAAAAATTAATTTCTCATTTCACATTAATTTAAAAAAAAAAGAGAAGAAAAATTAAATGAGGAAAACTTGGAAAAACTTGGAATTCGGGAAACTTAATATAAATTGCCATAAATTAACGAAGAAATTGAGAAATTCTCTAAAAACACTGGGCATAAATTAACAATGACAAAAAATGAAGTTTTTAAAATAATATTTCCATTCAGAGTTTCAAACCGATTTTTCATTCAATTTAATATAGATATTCAGCACTGGTAACTGCATTGTATTCACCTTTCAATGAGAGAAAATTTAATCCCAAACAAGGCTATTGAATAATCGCGAGTTCAAATTCCGCTATTGGGGGAACACACAAAAGCGCTCATTGTGTAGAAATATTCGTAATGTGAAATGGGAAATCGACTCGAATAAAAAAACGAGCAAAGTATTTTTATAATATTTATTCTCAACGATGATTTCAACAAATTTTCATAAAGCATCAGTGTAAAAATTTTGAAATACCGACGATTATCAGCGAATTTGCATTGAAAAGTCCGGAGCATCAGGGAATGTCATATGAACAGATCAATAAAGTCCGCCCAATTTTCCTGACAACACCACTGGGGCGGTCACAACAGCTGGAAAAATACAAAAACCACAGATTATTTCAAAATTTTAAAAATCAATTTCGAATTTACATGAATTCGGCGAATAAAATTTGCTGGAGACAAACGAATGCCCTAAACTTCCCCACAAAATCACTATAAATTCTTGTCTGAAGCGAATTTGATCAGCAGAATTTTGTTATTAATTCAGTATGAATCACTCACTCTTGACTGGTGCGAGAACAGAGTGAATGGGCTGAGCGGGACGAGCAACGATGGGCGAAATAGGCTGAACGTGAGGAGCTAAGCCGATGCCGCCGTATCCAAGACCTCCTAATCCGATGCCAGTGGTAATTGGAACTCCTCCCAGAGGGATTCCTGTGAGACCTCCTGGGTAGGCCTGGGCGGCAGCCACGAGGGCGAAGACGAAAAGGCAAACCTAAACAATTCCAAGATCAAAATAACTTCCATTTTTCAAGCTGCAATCGACCAATAAATAATTCCAATCAACTCAAACACTCATTCATCATCAATATTCATTCTTCATCCTCAAGGATTGATTAATAATAAACAATTAACTCGTCACAATCACCAGCAATTATTAAACAGCAACTATTGAGTGATGATAACCGGACTGAACCAGAAAATAATTTCGTGAATATGAGTTGACTAATCGAGTGAATTAATTAATTAAACTTTGACTGCCGATTTACCATGGATTTCATGATGATTGTTGTTGTCTGCTCGGTTATGCTGGGTAACTGATGTCAGTCCCTCGGTTGACTTCTCTATTTATATCCAATCCCTTAAGCCAAACCCTCGTTCATTGACATTTTTATCGTTAAATCCAGATCAAAGTCCTCTCTCACCTCCCTGTCATGCTACCGAGACACAAACACGTGTAGCCGTGGAAATTTGAATGTTGGGAGGTGCCAGCGTCGATTCTGATTGGTAAACAAGGAAACGGCCGGTGCAACACTGGTTTATTATTCCGTTCGGCGGCTCGTTGCATCAGAAAGTTGCTCGCCTTTGTATGGCCAGTGATTTTGCCGTGAAACATCGGGTAATTAGAGTTCGGGTTTGGGGGAACAAAGGGGCTCATTTTGGCAGTGTTTTGGGGATAAAAAAAAGGTTTGGAATTTTTTGGTTGAGGATTTTTCGGTTCATCGGCGGGGTGATGGCGCACAGGCGGTCGGCCGGTTCCAGCATGCGTTTCGAGCGTGATTACAGGTAAGAAAAGTGGGAGGCGCCGAGGTGGATCGGATTTCATTGTAAATAGTGCTTTGATATTGCATCAGATTCTTTGTGCGGGGAATATCTAGGGGCTAATTAAGACTCTAACGGTGTTGAAGATGTTAAAGTAGCTCTATAAGTGAAAGAATTTTCGTCTTAATTTCCTCTAAAAATTTTAGAATGTCATTGAAAATGTTAATTTTCATTTTTTGCCTCTAAATCGCATTTCATGTCACTCTTCCGCTTGTCTCAATTAAAAATTAATTAAAAATGCATCAATTGTGCATTAATGTGCATTACTTTTTAAAGAGTCATTAAAATGAATGGAAGAATTTCAAATAAATACAGAGAACAATGCTTAATACCCATGAAATGAGATGAGTCTCCCGTGAATAGAAAAATGGAATTTTCATTCCTCATATTGTTCCCAAAACATTGAATAACTTTACGAGTTTTTTTTCATTGCAGGGAACAACTTAAAAAGTGCCTTTGAAAGTCTCAAATGAAAAACTTGGGGAGAAATATATGAATGTGAGAAAATTGTATTGGAGGCGGTGGAATAAAGAAGTGTAGCTGAATGTAACGAGTGAAAATGTCGAAAAAATAGAAAGAGGCGAGAGCAGGAGAGGAAGGGGATACGGAGCAGTGCGAAAATGGCTTCGTGGGCGACAAAAGTCGCAGGTGTTGCATTGAATTTCATTCCTGTTGATGATATCGAAGCGAATATTGGTATTCTGTTGGATTTTATTTCTGTCTCCACATTCATAAACGAAAATCGGATTTGAGTGAATTTTCCCGAATTCGAAAATTGCTTCAAAAATCGAAATACAAGGGAAAAATAATTCGCAGCGAATGCTAAGTCAATAAATAAATAATTCAACTTATGCAGTAATTCGCGTAGAAGGCGAATTAATATTATTAACCAGAAATAAAATGCCAAATGGAGTTTTAATAGAGAATAATCGTTCGCAGGACTGACAAAAAAATTAAATTACCGTAAAAAAACATCTAATGAATTTAGATGGTACGACACGTAATTTAGGTGTAATATCGCATTACACGGTGCTCTCAACGCCAAGTTCATAGCGCTGTATGGGCGCGTCACGCTACATTATTTCCTCATTATTCCATGACAGATACGAGAATTAGCGTCAACGATTATTATAACAAACTAATGCACCGACGGTGTGCAATAGATCGGAGAGAATTATCACGCACGAGGGAATTTCCGCGATGAAAAGCCCCTCATCCTCCCCCGAACTTCCCTCGAAAATTATCATTTTCCGACGAGAATGCAGCAAAATAATTAATTAATAACTGATTAGTTGTTTCATCAGAGACATTTTAATATGTTTTTTATTATGGATTTCGTTTTTTGAATATTAACGTCATGATATTGATTTATTGGCATTTATTCCCCGATGTTTTCATCGTTGTTGCAACAGTTCTCATTTTGTTTTGATTTTTTTTTTGCTCTGCAATTTTTTACGTCAGCTCCCACGCAGTTTTTTTTATTATTAATTTGTTACCTGCCATTACCGGCAATAATTATCCTAATTCGACGATTACAATTTGAAAGTTCACTCCGCTTTATAGCGGAGTTTTCAGTGTCTACCGCGTAATTTAAATCTCTTTAGATGTTGCGCATCCCACAGTATCTCCCCTGAAACTTCATATGCTCATTTTATGGTGAAAAATTTCCATACACCTCCTGCCTTGTTTTGACTTCGGAATTAATCATAAAGTTTATGTTCTCGAGGTAACGGTACTCGCAACGTGGGAGTGTTTTGTGCTCATAGTTTTAGATGGTCTTTTTTTTGAAGAATGAAATTATGGTTTCGGAGGAAAGATGAAATTCAGTGATATCATGATTTCGTGGGGATGAAATTTCAGACAATTAATGAAAAAAAATTGGAATTTCACATTTTATTCTGGAAATTCAATGAAATTCCCAGACTTTTGTTATTTTTTCATCGAAAAATGAATATTCAGTACCAAATAGCGCTCTATTTTCCATTAATTAACAATTGAAGAATATATTTATCTGAATTAAACTAAAATTTACTGATTTTTCCATGAAATTTTGAATTTTCCATTACAAAATTCTAAAAATTATATCAATTCAACCCATTTAAGAGGAATAATATTTTATATTTGTTTACCGACAGGAAGTGGGGCAAAACGAGTCGTTCAGAATTCCCCGGATTCACTTTATATCGCAGCAAACGACTGCATGAATTATCCCACAGATTCAACATTTAAAATCTACTGATTCAATTAATTTTAAACGCCTTCAGCATTACTTCGAGTTAATTCCCACTACAAAAATGAAAGCCGACAGAGTTGACAGGAGCCATCCCCTATCCACCCAGAAGCAACAGGTAACAACATAATTACCCCCGAAACTCGGAATTTCCCTCCAAAAATAGGCGAAATGATGAACAAGTGGAATAACTCAGTCTAATCCATTTATACCTTTGTTCCACATCCCCGGGGAAATATGTGTCCTCGGAGGCGAAAAGACTAACAGTGCAATTAAATTATTCAGAGTGGCGGAGCGACTGGCAAATGCACACAGGGAGTACAGTGCATATACCGAAAGTGCAGGGATGCTTTGTGATCCTACGGTTTCCAGCGCCGGAATTTCGGGTCTCAAATGGACGGGGCGTTACGCTGGAGATGCGGATGTGTTTGTTATGTACTACTTAGAGAGGTAATACTCTCAGTCGGCGGACGGTTGGGGGGCAAACAACACTCTCGTGCTTTGCGACCGTCGTATCACTTTCCGCTGACAGCAATTCACATTGTAACTGGATGACAATG